ATTAGACTACTGAAATTGTTACAGAGAAAGTTAATGACGTGGAAAATGACCAATTAAACTCTCCATTAATTGGTTCCAGTTTAAACTCTTTAAAACAAATAAGTGAAGACCTTTCATTTTGGGATATATGTCAGTCGGGTGTAACTCGTGCATCGATGTGGTCAGTTATGGATTCAATAAGTCAAATAATTGAAACAACATCGGATTCAAATGATAACAATAATAATAATAATTCAATATCCAATACAAATCTATCTGTTAATTTAAATTCAAACAGTACTATACGTACTGGATCCACTAAACATGTTATCAATGTACCTACACAGCATTGTGGATCAATTAATGCATTCGATATGATTAATGATGAATTCTTTAACGTATTCTGGATACAAATTCTGTTAAATCAAATTCGAACTAATCTTCAAGAAGTTGAGAGTAAATTAACTGCTGAAAATTACTCCCATTCAAATGATTCTGTGAAAGCAGACACATTTCTAAAATCGCATGATTTGTAAGTTATGTTCAGTTACTTTTCATAATTGATTCTTTTTCGAAACAGTGCATTTTATAACTTGGTTGCCATGAAGAATTGGCTTATACTAAATCATAAAGAAACATCAGACATTTTGTTTTCATATTAGAAATACGTCACCATTGCCGTTTTATTAGTTTGTTATTTACAATATTTATAAACCTGGTTACTGGGTATTAAAGTTGTCTTGATCTGAACAAAATCTTCACCCTGTTACTGGGACGTTTATAACTGCCTTCCTAGCCGCTTCTTATGACCCCAATCTTCCACTACATGTCAAGTAAAATAACAGTGAAAAGGCGCGAAATACGAGTGTGAACCTTACTTTAGGGTATAGAAAGGCGAGTGTATTTATGTAGTCTCATGTGAGCCTGGTTTTATAGAACTTTCTGGAAATATAGTAACGATGCATGTGATTATCCAATCGAAAAGTGATACATAATCCTTCATTTTCCTAGATGCTCTTGATAAACCTTTATTTATTGTTGAATTTTGACGGTATTTTGGGACTCCTCACCACAGCTCTACTTCTTAACACTTAATTTGTCCGTAGTTTTCGTTTTCTACTGATTGGTTGACTGATATCCAATTGTGATTAGAGCTATGTGCCAACTTACTTGAGACATATAATAATCCAATGAAATGAATTGTTGTGTTTATTGATTAATTTGTGTTTCAGTTAGTGTATTTGAGAAGACTTTTGTGCAAATGGTTATTCTTTCAAATTTTCTGTACTCAGAATAATCACTTAAGTATGGTGCAATAAATAAAAGTCAAATGAACGGTAAATGCAACTTCCTAACCACAATTTCATATGTCCGAGTATTGGCTAGACTATCTAGCCATTTGAAATAAAACGGAATATTTTCTAACGCAGTTAATAAATCGATTACTTTCAGTCCCAGTAAATCTCACACAACACTCGCTCCAACGTTTAAAGTACCTAACACTTTAAACTACTGGGTTGTAAATCGAAATATAGCTCTCATCTTCTGCTTCCTCGTCATCCGCGTCAAGAAATATTATTTTTCTGATTTCGATTTTAAGTATATTTTAGTGTATTCCCATTGTGTATTCATAGAATAACAGTCTGATTTGTGGATATATATTTCTAGATGAATATCGGAACATTTTATGTACGATGTCATTATAGTTTATTAAAATTAAGTACACAATTCAACTGTATTGTATAAATTATAAATTTCTTTACAGTGCTTATATTTATTTTCACTCTTTACTGTATTAAATATCTAGAAATCAAAATATTTCATTGTCAAATTGTATCCATGATTTGCATCGTTGTGGTATCGGTACGAATTATCATGATCATTTCAAAACATTGGCATGTGATTATTTACCAGTTCTACGTGTATTAGCTTCCGGTGAGAATTCCAGACAAACAGTTTCCACTAAAAGACGGTATGTGATTGTTTTTGTTTGTTTTACAATTGTATGATAACTTTGTTGTATTATGCTTTAGTTTATTGAGTTGTTCAACCCTGTCGGGTGTAGGCAGTAACTACCAAAGACAAATGGGTGAGGTCGCGCAAAATCTGTAGGTTGATCAGAGTTAGTCATTAACCCTGCTGGATGCTGGCCCAGTGGTCCAGAGGTTAAGCGTTCGCGCGCAAGACCGAAGGTCCCGGGTTCGAATCCTGCGAGGTGCAGGAATCGTGGATGCGCACTGCTGATGAGTCCCATACCAGGACGAAACGGCCGTTCAGTGCTTCTATGTTTCTGATGATGGTCTAACAATGACTGATTGATGATTTCATTATGCAAAAAACATTATTTACTGATGTACAAGTAGACTGGGAGAACCCTTGAGGTCCACCAGTCCAAGACATGATATCAGTCTGTGAAGTCATCGTCTATTAGTTAAGCTGTACCAGTAGGTAGATACTTTTACCTACATAGAATCCTTGAAATCCTAATAACCAATGGTTAGATGGCATTGCTGAGTCTGTCCATACCAGAAGGTAAAAATGACAGAGTATTTATATGCCTATATTCCAAGTTCATTATACATCAAGTAAACTTTTTCGATTCATTTACCATAATCTCAGTTTTGTAATTCCTAATCTAATTTACTTCACAGTGATACATTATTCCAATATCGTTGTCCTATTGTCTTCTTTGTTTTTTTGTTAAACAGCTTTTTACACTACTTTGATCGGATATCTTTGTTCTTGCGACCATCTACTAAAGAATTTTTGGCAAAATCCCATTTTCTTTAATAGCACAATCACTTTTTTTTCTTACAACATGGAATGTATGCAAAAACACTATGATTATTATTATTATTATGAATATTATTTTTTTAATTATAATTGGTTTGTTGTATATGTGTATTTTTACTTTGTAGATCTTTCGTAATAGAGATATTGTTTTATTTCCTTACCTTATTTTTTTGATATTCCAAATCGATATATTTTTTCTCACATTTATATGCATCTATGCGAGATTGACTCTCTGCCTTTTTTCTTCTTCTTATCGGTTTATTGATATGTCTTTGTAATATAATTTTGTCATACTGGTGTATGTGTTTTGGTTTTTGTATATATTTTATCAGGATTTATTAATTCATTAAATGCCTTTCATTTTGACAAGCCTATTTTTTTATTTGTAACATTGTGTACTTTTTGTAACTAAATGTATTGATGATTAGATGATAAGTATCAATATTTCTATTTGTGTTTGTGAGAAATATAACTATGATGTATAGTACTGAGTTTTCCTTTTAAAAAATATTTTGTTTGATAAATTGTAAATGAAATTGTTGTTTAGACAATTCATCAAATAAATTAAATCTATACTGTACCGAAAAAAATTGAATGTTTAAAGCATTTTAAGTGTCAAAGTTCAGAAGATATTTAAGTCTTTGTGGATATAAATATATTTAGTTACGTTTTGAAAGAATTTTGCAAAAAATGTACATAGAATTGTCCGATTATTGATGAGAGTGATTAGTATACAGTGGATTGACTGTCAGCTTCGTATGAAATACTGACATGATTCTATTCACATATCCTAACATATTCAGCGATCAAGTGGATTGAAAATTAAAATCACCCGAACTTCGCAATCGATTTTCTAGAAATTCACAATTTCATTTAAGTAGTCAACTTATTACTTACATTGCTTGCGGCATAATCTCTGTTTTCTGTTTAATTGGCAATAAAAATGTTTACTGGTGATATTGGAAAAGTATAGAACTAGTTGTCTGTTAGATAAAATCTATTTCCGTGTAAATCGTGTGTTTTCTCAAGGTTATTATTTTGTGAATACGCAGTTTGTATGTTGAGTAAAATGAAACAGTTGTTTTTCTAAGCAGAAATTTTTTTAAAATATTGATAAGATTTATTCACGGTATTTCAGTAAATATTGGAAATGAATTGAATATATCCTTAAATTCAATCGATCAGATAAACATTTATTATCACTAAGTATGCATGAGGCTATTACGAGTTTACCTTAGTCTATAAACGCGAACAAGACAATGAACCAGCGTCCAGGTAGGCTACCTTGAATCCCAAGCTGAAGATAAAAGGCTTTGTAAGCGTAGAAAGTATATTCTACAAACACCCAGCAATCACAGTACAATCAAGCATATAACTCTCGTTTATTTATGTATCATAGACACGTCCTTGGGACAGTTAAGAAAATATCACCCTTAAATACAGCAGCCAATCACAGCCATGGATTTTCCTGGTGGGAATCGAAATCTCAAGGTCAGCTGATCAGCCCATGCTGGCAAACGTGAAATCCAAAATAAGGCATTTACCAAGCGAGTTTTGGGGATCTAATATCCCCAACAATAATTAACAGTGTTTATCAGTGTTCAATTTTTGTCCTTCATGTGGATTTTTCTTCACCTATTGAAGGCTTTTTTTAAAATTATGAATTCAAAAATAAAAGATTCTTAGCAGTAGCTTAGAATCAGTTAAAGGGAATCCCAAGTAGATAAATGCCAGTTTGTATAGTATTATTCAAATCAATTGCATTTACCAGCAGTCAATTACACAGAAACTTCTAGATATTTTTGATGATAGTTAAATTTATCTAGTTTTATTGTAACCTGAGTGATATGATTTACAATACTATGATTGAAATATGAATATAAATTTTGTCTGACCAAGTTTACTAAAGTATGTAAAATATAAGAGAGAAATCACTTTATGAAAAATATCGATTTCCTTATTTGTCAAGTCACTTACGACCTAGAACTTCGTACGTACGTACGTCAGTTCAGGTCGCCATGCCGCATTAGCACACAGACGCCACTGTCAGTTCAAATCCCATAGTGGTGGGAAATAGTGTTACAGCATCCTATGTTTTACATCGATTTCAAACATCAACATTATGTTAATAATTCTATCTAGATTGCATAATCATTCATCTTCAACCGTCATATAAATGTCTCGGTTCATTTATTTTATTCGCCAAACCAAAACACGACAGAAATCCATGAAGTCATTGACGATTAGACTTAGCCATGTCGGTAAATGTCAGCTACCTGGTTGGCGTCCGCCAGATGATAAAAATCGATGGTTAGAGACCTTGAATGACATGGCTCAAAATTGTTCGCAATGGCGCCGGTGCATTTATTCTTTGTGTTCTTTCAAATCCTAATCTTCTGGATTCTTCAACACCTCTAGTTTCGACTCTCTAAACTTTTCTCACTGAATCATACTTCTTGAATAGTATCTTCTAATCCTAACCTCTCCGATTACTTCTAATTCCCTCATCTACTATTGGATTTGAATTGACGATTACTTCTTTGTGCTGATGTGGTATGGCAACATGAACTGATGTACTTACGTACGAAGTTCTACGTTGAATCTGACTGACTGATTTATTTTATTCATCACTAGTTTATTTTAACGTTATAAGTGAAACATAGAAGTAGTTCTTTCATCTACCTAAATTACTAAGTTTAAAGGAGTTGAATGAAGAGACAGCAAATACTTCTCGTAAATGGGTCATTAGTAACAAACAAAGTTACATTATTTTTATAGAACAATGAGATGTAGTTGATCTCATCTCCTTACCATTTAGAGGTAAATCAAATGGTTTTCTCTTAAGACAGAGACTAAAACCATCCATTGGGAAAACATAATACGCTACTAAATTGAAAGGACTAAGTCCATGATTCCACATAGGCATAGACATTGCTCAAACGACTACATTACATCTCGTTGCATTTATCAACTTGTGTGGACACATACATAGGAAGAAGTAATCGAACTTTTCAATGAAAGGTTATGGGACATGTACGCAAATGGCTTCAAAATCATTTAACATCAGATGACCTGGTAAATTTGGGGGATCGAAAATCATGTCAATCGATAACAAAACACAACTGAAACGGAGCGTAGGATGGATATCAAAATAGCCTTTGAAACATTGTACGGAAACGTTCAAGGACGAATTCTAATGTTTATGAAAGTTAACCTAAAACCCCTCTTATGTGTACAGAAACAGTTTGTTATAGCCTTGAATTTACCCTGGTAATCTTTAAGCCATTTTATGACCTAAGTGTAGTGTGACGATTTCTTATTCTTTCTATACTATGTTAATTTTCCATCTCCTTTATTTACAATAATCACCTTATGTTTATTTGAACTTTTATTTAATTGACCTTTTATTCATTTTCATATAAAGTGCCTTAACACGTATACATGTGAACAGATTGTTCGAAATGTATAACGCAAATACATCATATTTTTCAGATCAACTACGCCTTTTGATTGTTCTGTCAAAATTTATATAAATGGGACTAATTGTTTTCAAGTTACATTAAGCCAATAATACTATTTATTGAATTAATTAGGTGGGAAGTATGTACCATATCTTTGTATAGTTACACATATTTTTTTATGATCTTTCGATAATTAATGCTTAGTTTGTTGTTTAGTTAAAATGTACTAATGACAGCTGGTCAAAATAGTATATCAAAATTATTTGGCAATTTGTTGTCTGATTAATGCAACTTCTGAGGTAAATTTCAATATCAACCTTGGTATTAAATCATCATCATAAACGGTAATGATCTTTACCTTACTATTTCAGTAACTTTAAAATCAAGCCACTAGACAACTAAAATCTAACTATAAATCTAAGCGTAAGTACTTACTTGTTTTTAATGCTGTACTCATACATCAATATTGACCGTCTAGAATAGCAATGCAATTAGGAAATGCATACTATTGTTTTAGTTGACTTAAGATAATGCCCAGGTAAATAGGTGAGCAATTAGCCTAAAAGTAACAAAAAGACATTGAAAGTAAGATAAAAATACGAAATGGTGTCATATCAGAGTTAAATTTGAACAAGAACACAGTGAATTTCACCTGTAAACACTCCTTGTTTTAATAGTAAAATGGTAAGAACTAGAATTCTGTGTCTAGAGGGTTATTTGCACACTGAGTTGAAAAAAATGTCAATAGAATAAACTCATTTTCGTAAACTAAAGATCTACAGGTTTAAGCAAACATATTTTACGTAGCACTAATCTTGCCTAAATCATTCATGTCTGAGAATTCGATGCCAACAGGATATATATGTATATAAGCATTCCTGTGTCTTAGAAAATGGATCCATTTCTTGACCACTGAGATGTTTTCCTCCTTTAGGATATTTCTGATCATCATCAAATGATCTTATTGACTCAATATGATCAACAGTATCTGAGTTATTCCTATTGCTATCCTACCGATCACTTCTTGAGTTTAATTTCTTAACGCTAGAAATACAAGTACAGTGTTTACGTCCTTTCTAAAGCTTAATAATCATATTCATAGTTTATGTTATATTATTTGAGGAGATCAATACACCTCTGATAGAAGTTAGTTAATTATCAAAACCAGAGGCTTTCCATGCCTTTTCATCGAGTTTTATCAGCTGAAATTTCCAGTGATCACTGCTGATAGGTTGAAAAGCACGAGGACACAGTAGTTCAGTACAAGATGGTTTTCATTAGATTTTCGATACCTGTTAGACGTTGTTGAGGGATAGTATTGATCTATTTGTCCCATAATACTACCAACGATTTATTATAAATAAAGGTTTGAATTTTTCAATGTTATGATTTATGAAAATAGAATAAAATGCGCTAACTCTCAACCGAACATTGCAATATATAATCTCTTATTCACATAGATCCTGACAATATTATACACCTGTAATTAATGATACCAGATATAACTGTCATATATACACGCTTTTTTTATAACATTAGAATTTATTTTCAACTCGAACATGAGTAGTACAAACAATTCAGATTACTGAGATAAACTGTGAACGACTAGACTAAACTAAAAATCATAAATAAAGCTTTTTCATTAAAAATAAATATAAGTTCAGACTGAACTCATGAGTTAATATGGAGAATTTGCTTTTTACAGTTCAGCAGTTAATTATCGTTACACCTATTTTAGAAAAAGTCTTCTCTAACAAGATGTAATGATCTTTTTGTAAAGGGCAAATTACGTACCGGAAATTATCATCCAGTTAGTCATATGTAACGTACAACCTAACACACCTAAACATCTGTTCAAGGCCCCTAAACCATGTTAAAATTGCAAGATGAAAATTTCAGGATAAATCCCAAATTAATATCAGTAGCACAAGAAAACATCAAGTATCGGAGAAAATAGAGTTATTAGAAGAATATTTAACTCAGGATTTAAGAGAAAACGAACAATGAATCTACCCGTCTCATTGCAATCGGTTCTTAACCGTGTAACACAACGTTTCCAACTACTAGTTACGGTATTCGCACAGACCTCAGTCAAGTGATATGCACTTACATAAACGTTTTGGTCAAACGACTGATGACTGATGTCATGTTTTGATTTGACTATCCCTAGCTTTCTAGAATACTCCTACACCATAAAGCCTCACGTCAAGATATTCAGAGTTTGGGAACATTTAATGCATATTCCAACCAATTCACTTATTTAAGCTTCTCACCAATCGAGTTGCTATCCTTACCTAGTAACCTATCGCTAAACTCATCATTGTTCCTTTGGTTTTTCCAACTTATATGAACGATGCGTTGAATGCTAGTAACCTAAGAATAGCACTCATAAATTAAGACAAAAGGAACTGCTATTCAGTACACTAGCCCTTTAACTGATAGTTGGGGATATCTCACATATATCACAAGTGATGCAAGCTGGTAAAGGCTAATTAGTGTGTCTGTTGTATTCATCCCGATATTTCATCAAACACCAACCGTGCAGAGCTGATGAGGTTTCCACGATAAATGAAATGGTCAACGCACTCAACTATTTCACTGACAATAACATAGACCAGTTCTGAAGGAAAATATTGCATTCTTATCTATCAATATTTCTAATTATGACAAAGTGCTTCTTGTGTTTCTTCTATCTGAACTTTTTTTGACTAATTTCTTTTATTCCCATTGATCATAATTCAATTATCTTAAAGATAATTCACAATTCAAAAAAAAAATTGAAAGTTTAACCCATAAATTAATATCAATGGGAGAATTGTTAGAAAGTATGTGAATTAGCTGTTTCTTTCTCAATAAGCATATTCTCAATTATTCAATAATCTGTAACTGTTCTCTATCTAGCACAAGTTTGTAACAAATATTACTTAAACTTTTTATTAGAACATGTAACTTATAGGAAAAACAAACATAGTCCGGTAATCTCATCCACTACATTTTCTATTCACTTCATAAATCTCGTATAATTTAATACTTATATTTGAAATATAGATGAAACAGAAACATTATTATTATTATTATTATCATTTTCCATTTTGTTTATTATTTCAAAACATCATTCAATATTCATTCAAAGTACTTAGTGTTTTGTTGACCGAGTTTGTATCAGCTTTTCTCTTGATCATGTTCTGCTTATGTTTTTTTCATAGAATAGTGTGAAAAACATACACAATGTGATTGAATTAGCATTTCTTTGTTATTCAACATGTATATATATATATATACACAAACAAATTATTCCTCAGCACTACGGATACATTTTTAAGAGTAAAATTGTATTCTTTAGACATTTTATGCTCTATATCGAAAAAATATACATATATATGTATATAACTTTATCAAGTTTCATTTAGGACACAAATCAATAAACAAATGTTGTGTACATGTAATTATGGAAACCTCTTGCTTGTTTTTTTTTATTATTGACCAAGTTCACAGTCCAGGCACCAAGAATTTTTTTTCTACCTCCGAACCAATCAGAAATGTTGTTCAAAATACATAAATGAAATCTCATTCCATATTTCTTTCACTTTTCATAATTTATATTTCATTATGTAAAATGATAATCGTTATGACAGAGCATTGAAAAAACTACCACACACATACGCGCACACACACCACACACTATGGATAATTCAAATAATTCAGAAAAATATCAAACCATTTCAACATCTAATCATCAAAAAGCGAAACGTTTAAAAATATTACAAGAACTTGAAGATCGTAAACTTCAATTAAATCATAATCGATTGTCAAAAGAACAAAATAAAATTTGTAAACAACTTGATTTTCAACGTTCACAATTTACTCGAAGATTTTCTGAATCAAATTTTAATTTATCTAATGAAGAATTATCACCGAAATTATCAAAAAAAATTGAAAATGTAACATTTGATTCAAAGAAATTAAAACAACTTAAACATCAACATTCATTACTAACTGATGAGAATTTAAAGTCTTATTGTCGTTTATATTCACATGATGATAATAATAATCATGATGACGATATTGGAAAAACGAGTACAAATCAACCATTTTGGTTACGATTACGTTCTTTAGGTGTTCCATCAGATGAAGATACATTGTTAGCTGCATTAACTTGTAAAAATATGAATATTGATGAGAAATCGGCACCGGATGTTGATGATGCTGAAGATGATGTATTTGAATCGGTTTCTAAACCCTCGATTGTAAATCGTCATTCAACAGGAAGAATGTCAAGAAATTTACTAAAACAACGTTCAACTAGTCTAACAGGAGCTGATGAAACATTTGAAAATTTATTAAATAACAATAACAATAATAATATTAGTAGTGAAACTAATAATGAAAAACGAATTAAACGTTCATTAAGTTTAGAAGATAAAAAACCTGATTGGTTATTAGCATTAAATCGAATGAAACGTGAGAAATTATCTCGTCTTAATTCAAATGCACAAGAAGAAATAACAGCATTAGTAAGCGGTAATAAATTCTATGGTACTAAACGACCGAATGTACTCACTGTGAAATATCAGTCACGTAAAGATCGTCTTATGAAATCACATAGACATACTGTTGTTGGCATAACACATGAATTTGCACCAATATAACATATATATCATACATACTGAGAGAGAGAGAGAGGAAAGAGATAGTCAGTGTTTTCAATGGATTCATGTTTCACTAAATACATTTGATTGTTTTCTTGTAATATTTACATTTCATGAATTGTAGCAAGTTTCTTCTGTTAAACATACATATATTTGCCCCAATTTTCATTTTATTCAATGGAATCTAACATATATATACATATACATATATATATATATATATATATATATATATATATATATATATATGTGTGTAGATGTATTAAAAGATTGGATTTTTGCATAAACTTTTATACTCTTTAATAATTAACTATCTCTATCAGATGTCATTGTAATAATGAATATAAATTTGGTTGTATTTGTTGTTTAGTTTAGTTTCATATAAACTCAGTAATGCTACTCATTGATACAGCTGAGTACTATCGTGTACACTTGTATAGACATGTTTTATTTTCATGATGTAGACGGGAATCTAATATTTCGGTAGACAATTATAGTGGTTTAGTAATGTTTGCTATTGTCAAAACCTAATATGAATTGAATAACTATTGAAAACTAAATAAAATTTAAGATTTATTCTTAAAGCTAAACTAATATATATCAGATTATAATTACAATGAGGATTTGAATTCCAGAACTATTTTCAAATATCATCAGTTTGTGAATGAGTATCAATTATCCTTTGTTTTCATACAGATTATCATTTATTTGAAATAAGTGTTTATATTCAGACATCTGAAATTACCAAGTGAACTAGTGAAATAACTTGTCTATCAACTACTGTTCACACTTAATACGATAGAACAGTTTTGACTGAATCAGTAGTAGATTGAAAAATATGTAGTTCACAAAATGAATATTAACTTCCCAGTTGGAAAACTGTTAATCTAGACTCCAAAATATTAGTTGCTTAGACCACTGTATGATCAGTGAAAGAATTACGATGAGTTTTGTTATAGTTGATGGGATTAAATAATTATACGAAACTTTATAGATATTCGTCTGTCTCCTAACTTTTAAGCATTTTCTCATCAAAAGTTTTGGATTTTTTCAAGATAACATAGTGTTTTTCGAATCAAATTCCATTGTTAGCCACATCCCACCTATTCTAGATTATCAAATGGCTTTAATCTAACTAATAAGAGAAATACATTGGATTTATTATTCCATGTAGTTATCTAGTAAGACAATTCAATTGTAGACTATGTTCCATCGTTCAGTCAATCTATATTTATTTTATATGAATTATAATCTGATATTTCAGATGGATTATAATTTTTAGCTGCTTATTTATTCAATTATACAACTACTTATCATATCTTCAGTTCTTCAGTATTTTAATGTCTCGGTTTTTTACCAGTAAAATGAATGCAACTTGTATGCTTCGGAAGGTAAGTTTATGAGTAGAATCAATAATTTATACACCTGCAAAATGAAATATAAATGGATTTTTCTTCACTACTTATTGTTCTATTATATTCATTCATTTGTCATTCGTTGGCTAATTAGGATCAATGAATCAGTCACTTAATAGCCTTATATGAACTTTTTTATTTTTTGTAGAATATACTTAACTACTAAATAATTATTAAGTAGTAAAAATAATATGCATGTCAGTTACTATTAGCTAACTGCTTTTTATTCATCAAAATGTGTCGTTAGTTGTGAAGCATAAATGAAATCAGTTATTCTAGTACCTTATCTTATTGCATCTGCATTGTGATTTACTCAATGAAAGCGGCTGCTCAGTTTTGCTGTTCTGTTGATGGAGTCAGTTTCATTGCTAAGATTATATGTGGTACAATATGTAATACATTTGGATTCATTTTGTGTCATCTGTTTATCAT